TAAAAAGGAAAGGGGGCGAAGCAGAAGTACAGACATGGAGGGATGGAAGTGAGATCAATGAACGGGAACAAAGATCTTCCTAAAGGGATGCTGAGCAAGAATCAGAGGAAGATAGCGTCAGGAAAGCAAAGGAGTGCAAGACTTGCAAGGTTTTATTTTGAGAATAATACCAAATTAGAACAAAAAATGCATTTTAAAGCCAATGACACTCACCTATTAATGCAAACATAAGTAAAAAATTCTACGTCATTAGAAAAGGTTTTAACTGAAGCTTGAAGAAATCATAACACTGAATACATCTTAAAGGATAACACATGAGCAAGAAATAACGTATAAAGGGTATTTCCCTGATTAAGGCTGGCAGCTCAGCTCTTAATGAGCTGCTTGTAGTGTGATTGAGGAATAAATGGAGCCTGTGTATTACCTGATACAACTTTTAGAAAATTCCATCAGACAGCTGCTACTTGATCAGCTGAAGTTGTGTTAATCTAGAGTATACAACTAGATACACCTTACTGTGGTATGAGCCAAAAATCACAACTAATTTCAAAGCATATTGTTTTGTGGCATGATCCTAAATGAGCTTCCTGTACAAACTGAAATACTCAGAACCAGACTTCTCTAATTTGAAGTAACACTCATTTTTGGGTACCGTAGGGATGATATAGTACCTTTCCCAGACTAAAAAGCCCCTTTTCTCCTCAGTGGAAAGCACAGAGCAGGGCTCAGTGTTGCTGTGGATTCAGAGCCAAGCAGGGGCTCCAGAGGAAAGGCTTTGACTTACTGCTGGGGCAGTTCTGTAGGACTGCAGAAGCTTCATGCAGTGGTTCTCATGCCCTAATCCGTAGGACTTCTCAGTGTTATTATAGAAGTTATACAATTTCACACCAGACCTGGGCCTAATTTCAGGGTCAGCAATAATACAAAGTCTTTAACAGCCAAGTACAATGAGTGCAATGACTATTTTTGGAAGCCCAGTTCAACATAGTTTATGATAAATTTCCCACCACCTTGACAGTTTCTCCCTACAGGAGAAGGGCCTACAGGACACTATATTTTACAGACTGATAACTAAATCAACTGCAACATCAGAAACATTTAAAATTATTATGTCAATCCTTTATAAGTTAAGAACAACTGGTTTTAATGACAACAGTTAGCCAGAGCTACTTATATTCACCTATGGACATAAAAGAATTGTTATCAAAGATAAAAATTAAACCCCTACCATATAAAAGCAACTCAGAAGATGTAACAGATGAGGCTTTTTACAAAATGTTTTTATGGCTTTAACTGGCAGAAAACAAAATCATTAACTCCTCCACAGGCCACAGCACTTATCTTAAATTTATGGTTGAGTTTGTCTCCTTCCCTAATAAAAGTACTAATTTGGACATTACATTCCACTGTGTGCCTTTAATTTACAACAGTGACTAATAACATTGTTACATAAAAATTATTGAACATATTAGTGCACAAGACTTCACCAAGCCTGAGTCTTTCAGCACTACATTATTGCCACAAAAGCACAGTAAAAAAATTACATATAACTAAAGCAACAATAAAATTTGTGGACTATAATTTTTGAAGTGTAATAGTTAGACATTTCTTTTTCATCATACACTGATGAAACATACACATCTTGAACCTTCATCTTCTTCTGAAGACAAAGTTCAAAAAAATACCTGAGGGAGTGTTACTGTATCTGCTGAGCATTAAGCAAGCCAAAGATGAGGGCACACCTGCTAAAATTAGGCAATCCAAAGAGTCAGGGGAAGGGCAATGAACTTCAGCCAGACATTCTGAATTCAGAAGTTTAAAATATGGTGAAAACTACATCGGAAAAACATGACCAATTAAAGGAATAACTGAGACTTCATTTGATCCAAATACTTTAAACAAGTCAGGAATAGCCACAGTGTAAGCAGGTATGTTAACAGAATGGAGAGACAGCCTCAGGGATCAACATTATAATTGTTATTCAGAAGGACTGTGATTGATTAGAAGTGTAACTATAGTACAGAAAGTCAGAAAGGGAAGTAAAGCAGGGCTTTTGCTTTAAGGTTTTTGCTTTTTCTCATATTACAAAGTGCAGCAAAATGAGCATTCTTCTAGCAGAAAGTTTTAGCATCCTGAAGGGATTCTGACTTTCAAAATCACCCCTGGCCCTTGTGAAACAGAAGCAGCACCAGGTGGGTGTTCTGTTCCAACTCCATTGTAGCAAATGCTAAAACTTCCATAGTGGTGCAACTATTCGATTAAATATTGTCATGAGATCATGGCAAAAGGCTCCACTGGGACTCTGCTCTCAATCATAAAGATATAAAGCAGGAACACAGTAAATTAAAAGCTTTTGACTCTGCACTAAATTCTGCTTCCTCTAATTGTGGATACTTGATGACCAGTTTACACTCAGTCATTGCTTCCCTGCACGCATATGTACCTTACTCATTGTCACATTCTGCACATGCAAAAACATTTTCATATTTTGTTTGCGGAAAAAGGTGACTTGTATAAAAAAAAACAAAACAACAAAACCATGAAGAGGACAAACATTCAGTGAGTAAAAGTACATCCCTGCTTTCTTTTCAATATTACAGCCTGTGGTTCTGCAAAGTATTTAGACACATATCTAACTTTAAGATTTATTTTTCCTTAAAAACCAAAACCTTCATCTCAGTTCACCTGAGGGGGAACTGCACTCTGAAAAATCGTCTCTGTTAACTAAGAAAGTCTGCATGACTAACTAGCTCTTCGTATTTAGGACCCTAAAGTAAGGTAAGGTGAATTGGGGTCTCAGTGTTTACCTGTTCGCTTGAATAGACTTACTCTGTCACAGTGTTTAATGTTCTTCTTCGTTAATAGTATTGTGTGCTATTACATGAATTTGGGGTGTGAGAATATTAAGCAAAATGTCAAAAGTGAATCTCAAGTTCAAACAAATCCTGAGATTAAGCTTTAACTGGATGAATGCAGATATAAGATAATGCCCCTGAAATGGGCAAAAAAACCACCATATGAATCCTACTAAACCCTCATCCATCCAGCAGCTAAAATCATTCCTTCCTGATCACAAGACCTGAGGTAATTTTCACCTTTGTCTTGGGTTTCTCTTGTTTCCAAGTAAGGGAGTTCAGAGTCACCTTTCCAAGACGTATCAAAGTAATGAGAAACACATAACCTCCTGCTGAGAAATCCTTTAATAACTACAGGAATCCTAGCACATAGCGATTGGTCTCCAAGGAGTCTTATGAGAAGAGGCCACTCAGTTCATATCCTTCCCCTGAAAGAAGGTTTCTCAGAAGTTAACTCTGCACATAAGAAGTATGATGTCTGTTAGTAGGTTCTCCAAAGAAGATAACAAGTGTACAGTGGGAATAAAAGTTTTGGATGGAGCAACGTGTTTAACAAGAGGGTGACGGTGATGCAGCACGAGCATCGGTCACAAATATACTGGGTTACACCACAAGACAAATTACAGCCTGCAACCTAATCCTGTGTCTTGCAGAGACCCTGACAGATACAAGCAGCTCAAAAAGCAAGGTGTGCCTTACTGGGAAGTGATTGCCTTCCTGTGCCTATTCATAGCACCCTGCTCTGCATTCAGTGTCCCAAGTCTGCTTGTTCAGCCTGGAACACACATTTCCCTGGAGTTTGCTGGAAAAGAACGACTGAGCGACTTGCTTCACAGGAGCACAAGGCAGTGAGGATACAACACCCCTCAACTGTAAGGTGTAACAGAAAGAGCAACGCAACTCAGAGGCGTCCAGCCACTGTCTGCCAAGCTAATGTGGATGCTGTGGCCTCAAAATTCGTTAGTTCCTACATAGCTCTCCTTTCTTTCATGGCACAGTGCAGAAAAGCAGCTAAGAAAATAGGCATGTTATTAGTGTAATCAAAAGAAATGCAAATTCAGAATTCACAGCAATTTGGTTTAAATTACTGATATCCTCTACCTTTAACTGTCTGGCCTTTCTGCACTGTGGCTATACCAGATACAAAAACACTTAAGGAAGATATCTTCAAAATGAGAACCATTACAGATATGTGAGGGACACAAGCAGTAAAACACCATGTAACAGAAGACATAAAATAAGTTGCACCTGAATCCCCAATAAAATGGTAGCTGAGTCTGAGAGAGAAACATTTGCTTAGTTATCCCTCCCTTTGCTGTCAACTAAATTGAACGCCCACTCAAAAAGTCCTGTCCAATATAATCAGTCAATAAACAGTTACTACTGTCCAAAATATATACGCACACATATATATATATTAGGTAGACCCACACATGCATTTATAGTCATATATTTTCAGCTGTTGTGAACTTGCACAGCGCAACTAATTTCACTGGATCAGTGCCCGATTATGGCAGCTGAGAATCCATCCCTGTGACTTAAAATACATATACAGAGGCTTTACTCAGCTACTTGCCCATCACTTGCACAGGAAATACAGGTGCTCATGTTACTGTCTCATTACTAATTAATATTACATTGGTTTTGCTGTCCCTTCCCTTTTAGACCATGTTATCAGTATTTGACTGTCTATCATGAAGATCTTGCTGGATGACAGAGAAACCAGAAGGACCCTTGAGGTAAAAGCAGACTCCAAACATTATTCTCAAAACACGTACATGCACAGAGATCATGGAGTCTCTCTCTCTGTGCTCATGGAAAAGGAAAATATTAAATGGAAGACAGAGCCCTCAACTAAGAGGTCCCCCAGTGTAACCTCAGGTTAACAAGTTAAAATGTCTGTGCAAGAAAGCACAACATTTATGTGATGCCAGTGGCAGGAACTCCTACCTTCCAAATTCCTAAAGGAAAATAATCACTTTAATATAGTTAACTCAGCTAAAAAAATACAGACATACATAAATCAGACAAAAAAGCTGTGCTGTTGGAAGTTAAAATCATCAGTTCAAAAGTCTCTCCCAATTGCAAAGCGTATTTATAAATGCAAGAAATGATCAAACTTCACCCAACTGCTCATGCACTTACCTGTCCCAGATCTAAAGTGACATTGACTTCGTTGTACTTCAAGCCCATAGAAAGAGGAGGACTCTGCCACCAGCGCTCCGTGCCATCAATTGCATTGGTTACCGGGTGAGCTTTGCTGGGATCAGCAGCATTGCAGTAATCACAAAACTGGCCCTGAAACACAATAAATTAAAAAGATCATCTCAGACGAAGTCTTATGCACTGGCAACACATGCGGTTGTTAACTCAGATTCTGATCTAGAGTGTTGACTAAAAATGGGGTTAAATTTTGTTTCTTTGTCTAGTATAATTTTTAATGCGTAAATTATTCTCCTGGCAATTAAATTACACACCCATACTCTGAAACACACTAACATTTGTGTTACAAACAAAAATTTCAGAATCTCAATAAAGGGGCTACAGTAAATCTTCCTTTATTAACTAATTTATTGACATTATGGTGAAATTACCTATATGATATCTATAGTGGTGTTTGCAGGAAATTAATGAAACAAAGCTCCTTAGAACTGGATTAGGACCGACAAACAAATTATCCTCAATTCTCCCATGAAATATCCACATATGCACATAGCCTGGTATTAATAAAAGCATAAAACCCCCCTCCGTTACTTGCCTATAAGTTTAGTGTTACAATTTTATAACAATGTTTTCATTTTTTTTCATGCCATTATAATGCATTATGAATCAGAGGTTTCTGAACAACATGCACTCATGGAAAATGCAATAGAACCTATAGACTGTTCCCTTTAAGTTTCCCTTTAAAGAATCCCATTGTATCCTCATTTCCAGAAGTTACTGCCCAATTTCCAGTCCACATCTAAAGCCACACTCCAGAGATGCCCTTTGAGAGTCTCTAAAGCCCTTTGTACAATTATGATGAATAAAGTTCAGGAAATTTAATTGTCTTTTGATTTCACATCTTGGCTTGCCCCACAAGCTATTTTTATCTCCAAGAAAACACATTTTACAGTCCACTAAGATTAGGCTGAAACAGTGTAATTAGTTATTAAGGAATCTTTTATTGTCCTATGCATTTCTTATTCCAATCACTGGGTGGAGATAATCAGTGAAAACGTTAAACTGTGCCAGGCACAGATCTTTGTGGAACCCCAAAAGAAAAAATTACATTTTCATTGAGGCAGTACACCCATCGTGGTTACTTAAGTCAGACAGTTACTTATTCCATCAGCCTGTGAGGTGCTGACACTGTTGGACTCCCAATTAAAATAAAAAGAATAGGGCAAATGTTACCTTCTCAACTTAGCATATTTTCATCAAATACATGACAAATCTTTTGTTGTTTTCGCAATCCACATTGCCTGGCATGAAGCATGTTCCTACCCTTTAAGAATTAAGAGAATCCCATATAACTGCCATTGTTTTGTTTGTCACTGCTGTCAGACTAACCAGTGCGAAGTAACTGGAGCAATCATACTTGTTCACTTTTAATAGAAGAATAACATAAGGGCTCTCACATTCTTGCTGGGAACGGTCTTGCAAGCTTGGTGAATTTAAGATGTTTATCTCTAGTGGAATTTATTTAACATCTACCATAGTTACTATGGATTGGAAAATACTTCATCATTCTCATGTGATACAAATACACCATCTTGTGTCTTTCAAACACAAAACATAGATATTCACCGAATATTTTTGCATCAATAGCAGTAATTTCAGTGTCTACATCTAACAACACTTCCATCCTTATCCTCCTTTTCTAGAAAGCCCAGAATATGACACTGTTTCCAGAGGCCATGTCTACCATTAGCTGTTCTGATTCAGCACTACCAGTGCCAACCTGACTGAGGGTTAACTCTCGAGAATTCAAAGAGTTGTTTAGAGACTTACAACTCGCATACACAAGTCAGTTAACTTTATCTGGGGTCATGTTATAACACGATCCTCCTCCAGCTCTGCTAGAGAAGATGGTTTTGGCTGATTTTCATATGAACTACAATATGCCAGGACACTGCTGTATGCAGGTAGTTTGCTGCAGCAGATGCCACATCAGCCCGTGCTAGCCACAGGCAACGTTACCAGTTTCTGCAGTGATGACAAACAGAATCATATTGCTCTCTGCAAAATCAATACCCTGAGAAATCAATATATGCACCGACAACTGCAGCTACTACCACATCACAGCATCTTTCCTGACAAATGCATGCTCGAGTTCTGACATATATGTTACAACACTACAAGCTTCCCTAAATAGCTTTATAATGTGCTTGAAACACAGTTTAAATTCACATTCACGATGATCAGGCTGGAAATACACAGGAAAGAGTTGCTGCTACAGCAGTTTCAGCTCTGATCTGGAAACAACCTCAAAGAAAGGCTGAATGAGCAGTAAACAACGGGGAGTATTAAAAGCAAGCATTTAATTTACATGCACTTAGGTGATTTCAGTATACCAGAGCACTTGATCTGAACTCAAGATACCATCTTTTTCTTTTGGGGCACATAATTCAAAGAATTTCATTGCAACAGCTGGAGTTTCAGTTATTTAAAATTACATTCCAGCAACCCTGCCAACTAGGCAGCAAAACAAAAAATGAAAGGAAAAAAATTATTGGACAGAGCAGCCTTCCTTCTCACTGACAGTATCTCAGGAACTGCTACAGGGCACGTCTCCATTCCAGGAGACTGGGGCTCAAGACTTGGTCTGATTTTGGCTGCAGTTCATCAGGCAGGCAGGTGTGCATTTGCTGTGACCTTGTTACCCTCCTTTCCCCTGCTTCTCCTGAGCGAAGGAGAAACCTGGAACTGCATGAAAGGGTTTGCTGAAATACGCCAGTGTGGACCTGAGACATCCAGGGATGAAAATGTCTTGCCTGTAAGTTATGGAAAGTGACAACAATGAAGAACTTGTTCATTATTTCATACCTAGCAGTTCTGTGCACACTGGCAGGGCAGGATAGGTATGCAGTTAGACTTTAATGCACACCCGCACACCACTGTGGACAGACTAGCAGGCAAAACCAGGCATGCCATTTATCTATCAGCTGCTGAAATATTTTATACTCTTGTGCATTTCTTCACTCAACACTGTTCTTATTAAGTTATTGTCCCACATGCCAATGTGCTACATAAGGGAAATACACTGCTTTTCAGAGAGCATGTCCAGCACTGTCTTAAGAGCCTTGGTTGAGCTGCCCAGGAAGGGACTGTCCATCCCACTGATCACCTTTAAACAACTTCTAAACGCTCTTTTTGGATTTCCTGGATAATTCAGGCTTCATTAAAACACACCACCAAATGACAAGCTGAACAAGAATGACCAATGGCAGAGCAGTGGAAATAAAGTTGTGTCTGCTTTTCCTCTCTTTGCCTCATCTTCAGATAGCAGTAGGAACAAAGCTGTCTGCTCCCTTTGACAGAATGAGGATCACCCTGCACGCCTCCTTTCCAATTTCTCTGTTCATAGAGCAACAGCCACAATCCAGCCTTGTGGAGGAGACAAAAAGAGAGTGACTCCAGTGTGTGGTGTCACTTGAACTTGTATCAGCCCAGTACAGGGGCTATTGCATCTATCACTTTACGTAAATGTCACATGACCTTCCCTCAGACTCTTTTAAGAAACAACACATAAATACTTCTGCTGATTTTAAATCCTTCTATGTTTAGGTTCTGTAAAAGCTTAATGCACTTCTCTCCAATTTTCCATGAAAGAAGAGATTCTCTTATTTACAGTGTCTTTGAACTTGTGAGGTGAAGTAGCTTGAAAATATGCACATTGTGCTGTTATCACATTTTGCATTGTTGGATTTCCCTGGCCTTTTGAAAGACCTCCCAACCCTTGTTGAACCATAACAACTACTGGTAAATCTCAGAAGTATTCATGTTATGTATCTCAATGGAGCTTTGTTAAAACTGGACAGAAATGCTGCTGTATCCATGCTTACACAAACGCTGTAAGAGGCACAACACTCTTCCTTGTGCCAGGGCTGAGCTATCAGTGCTCCTTCTGGGAACTTGAATTGGACATAAACCATAACAGCTCTCTAACCTAGGACCTGAAAGTCAAATATTTAACAGGAGGAGCTCCCTCCTTTCTAGCCTCCCTCTTCCTTTATACAGCAAACCCTCATTACCAGTTGGGTGTTAGTCTATAAAGGGAATAATTACAAAAACCATCAATGGCAACATGCATCACACAACAGGCTTCATTCTGCTTGCTTGGTATGTTTGTCTGGTGTTTGCTTTGGCTGATTTTTATTATCCTGTGATTTCTGATATTTCAAGACATGTCAGCATGAGATTTCACTGCAGCAGTGGGCTACAGCAAGTTGCTGAGAGATTTTTGGGCTTGCTGTTCACCTCCTGGTATTGTTGCTTCAGGCAACTTTAATAAACATGGGTGTTGCATTCAGTATGGAAGGACGGATGCCTAAACTTCAGAGGTGTGTTAGAAACAGAGAAGCAAGCAGCTTCCTGATCATCACAACTCTTTTTTGTAACCTCAGTTTAAGCATGTAATACCTGTGTCCCAGTTTTCCTATTAGTAAAATTGTATATTACTCAGTGTGTAAGTATCTCCAAACCACTTTGAGCTTTTTTTTAATGACTGAGGGCAGTACACAGATACAAGGTAAACTGAGATTTCATGGTACAGCAGACAGTCATGGCAGAGGGAAGCCCAGAGCAAAGCACACTGCTGACTGTGGCTGCCTAATGAACTGCGAGGGCAGGCTGAATGATGGTGCATTCTCCCTTCTGGCATCCGACAAGAAGTACATATGCTGCACCTTCTTAGTCCTCTCCCCCTTTCTCGAGCATCTATTCTCATAAAGAAATGAGAAAAACAACTCTTTTATCCACTGCAACCCCTTCTGAACCCAAATATGAAGGGTTATTTCACTATTAAAGATACAAGCACCTCATAAGACTTTGAAACACTAGCCCTTCTTCCAAGACACTAAAAATTTAATTGCATTCTTTCTGTATTGCCTGGAGTCAGACAGTGGACCTTAGAGCTTTCAAAATCCTTTCAAATTGCAGCTTCATTCTGGCTCTCTTCTCTCACCAAGAGATAACACAAATAAAATAACTTCGGAAGGTCTGACGCTTCAGGAAAGTTCCCCCTTGTAAAACAGCTCTGATCAAACTTACACTGAGCATCAATCACAGTACATCAGCT